GGCCCGAATTAAGCTTAATTTAGGCCGAAATTCGTAATTTCACCCCTGCGCGTTATTTCGCGACAATACGGTATATTGAATACAATTATTACTCATATTGGCTAAAAGATATTGATTTATGCTATTGACATAGAGCAAAAGATGATATTATTCAACCATCAGATGAATTAAAATCACAGTTTAAGATATTTATTGGGTCCGTATTATTTCACCGGAAATCACTTCACCGACAGCTCATTTAGCCGACATCACGCCATGTGAAATTTAGTAAAAATATATACCTGCAACTAATCAAATGTTTAACCCTAACCCTACGTGATGTCGACTAAATGAGCATTTGGTGAAACGAATTTATACTCGTTTTTGAAACGATAGTATTTAGTCAGCCGAAACATTTTCATCGACTGGCTAAGCCGATTTAGCAGTGGTTATCTTGGACACCAGCGTAGATCTCCGACAAGAAATTTTGTATTTGATTGGCGAACGCATCATTTTTCGTGCGACATTTACATCTATAAAAACATGAAAGTTATACCATTTTTTATTTTTATTTATTTTTTTTTAACTATCAAATTTAATACCTTGGTTACATATATATTGATGATGAAATGATTCAACTTAAGACGATATTAAATGTAATAGACAATTCTGGTGCTATTCTTGCAGAGTGTATTCGTGTGGCTCATGGTGGACGGTATGGTCGTATAGGTAAGTGTGACATGCATTTATTTTGCTCGTTAATTCCTATATCCCCTCAATTTTTACGATACTTGAACCGGTTTTTATTATTTATATTTATCTATTCATGTACTGTATTAATTTATTATCACACGATTTATCATTATTGCTCTTTTTTATACAAGGCGATGCAATCACGGTAGTAATTAAAAAAGCTCATCCAATCTCACAAGTCGCAGAAAAAACCTCTGGTGGATCAGCTGCAAATCTCTCCACAAAACTTTCAATTCGTAAAGGTGAAGTTAAAAAGGCACTCATTGTACGCACTCGTAAAGAAACAAGAAGACCTGATGGAAGATATATTAGATTTGATGATAATGCTTGCATACTTTTGAATAATCGTCAAGAACCTTTGGCTACTAGAGTACTTGGTGTTGTAGGAAATGAGTTAAGGGGTAAGAAATGGGGAAAGGTCGTTAGCCTAGCTCCTAGAATTGTATGAGCATCAATCCAGAATTCTCCCATTATTCTCTAAAAATGCCTAGCAATAGAAGAATTTGAGGGTTGGAATAAGCTTATTTGATTTAGTGATGCATGCTTTGGAATATTAAAAGTAAAAAAACATACAATAAAGCTTAGATGAGTCTACTTAAGCTTGTGTAACACGCAAACTCGATACCTCATTATTGTAATAATTACAGTATTATGCATATCAATCTATGTTAAACACGTGGTGATCTGATCAGATCAGCATATATATCGATATCGATACATAAGCGAAGCTTTTTTTTCACTGTACTTTCTTCTCTAGACATTATAAAATACAAAGCGAATGATTGGATACGTTAAAACATCTCTAAAAAGTAACAGATATAATGGCCATGATAGCGCGTGAGTTAACACTTTCATAGAAATGTTGGCTATTAACGTGTAATTTTTGATTTATTGAACTTTTCTATTGGTTCTTCGCCATCAAAATTATTTGTTAGTCCCAGTTTCGCAATAGATAGTATTATTGATATGAGAGTGCATGATGGAACAGAATACGTGATGGTCTCATATCAAGGTATCTATCTATTTCAGTTTCTATCCCTATGATCGTTGAATGTGAGTTAATCCTTTAATACTGTAATAGATGCAACTAAACTACCTGATTGGCATCCGATTAGCAGATTGCGCAACGCTGAAGGCTTGATAAAGGAATATAAAATCAAGGCGAGCCAAGCTGAGCAACGTCAAGTAAAAAGAAAAGCGCGTGAGGTAGTGAATACAACTAAATCTTATCAAGTTATTATTAAGATCTTGATCAAACTATCTTTTGTCCATATAGGGAAAATTGCAAAAGATAAGTGGACAGATTAAATCTCAACAAGATTGCGTTAAAGAAGCCAAGGACATTAATGTTATTTGTAAAAACAAAAAGCATGACAATTCTCAGAGATCGACTGAATCGGTAAAGAATCAGAAAACTGCAAATTTTCATCCTGCCCTAGGCAGGAATTATAAATCTGATGGCGAAATGACAGACGTTGAGTGTGTGTTTGAACAAAGCGACAAACTTTTAATAGGAATTGGGGAGTGCTTATCTGGGAAACCTGTATCAAACGTAAAAATTAAATGTGCTTTGAAAAATGAGTGTGTATCTAAAGATGGTCTTGGGAATACAGTATTTGTTAAGCGTGCTGGTAAAAGAAAAACAAAAACCTGTAAAAAAACACTTAGACCAATTGTGGTTTTGAATGATGGCATGGAATCTTCAATTAGTGAAATGTCATCTGACGAGGATTCCACCATTGATTTTAGTCATTCAAGTAGGTCGTTAAGTGTTGCAATACCGTATCAAGGAAAATTTTAATAAGCGCAAATATTTGCTTTATTTTAATTAGATACGCCACTTATTCATAGAAAATATAGGGAAGGTTCAAAAAGATTAAAGTCGATGGAGCATTCTGAGAAAATATCTGTCGAAACAACGAAAAAAGAGTCAGA